TTCAAGTCTCCCTACTTCTGGGCAGTTATGGAGTGGGAGGTCTTCCCAGCCTTGATCAGGGGTGGCAAGCTCGTCGTCGCTAGCGCCGATGGCCACAAGAGTCCGCAGTACATGGCCCAAACCATCGAGAAGTTCCACGTGGACGTGCTCATGATCACGCCTTCTGTCTTGGACTTGCTCCTGGACGTTGCACAGGCCGGTGCCCGCATGCAGTTCGATGTGCTTGGGGTTCAGTTTGAAAAACCTGAGGGGTATGAGTTTCTTCTTGAGTTCCTGCATGCAAGCCGCTTTGTGCAGGGCTGCCTGCGGGGTCTCCGTGTCATCACGACTGTGGGTGAGCCTTTGACATCGCAGCTGGCCAACCGTGTCGCAGGCATGCCGGACGGGTTCAAGTGATCTTCTGTGAGATTCTGCAAGGCAGTCGCGGCGGTGCCTCTCTCTGTGCTGCCCTCGTCCCTGCCAAGGCCACCGTGGGCTGTCAGTGACCCTGCGGAACTTCTACGGCGCATCCGAGAGTTCCTGCAGCTTGGCCGCAGAGAGCTTCCTTTTGCAGGTTGCGTTCGAACTATGTTGCAGTCGTAGAGGTAGCTCGCATGCAAGCAGCTGCTGCAAGACACGTCTTGAGCCAGCGTTGGGCGTGAGAGTCACTTGAACAACTCCCACATTGCAGGCACCGTCTACACGGTGCCCGAGCACGGTGTGGACACGTATCTGTACCCGCGGTACGTTCCAGCCGGCATGCCGCAGCCTCACGTCAGCGTGCTCCTTTGCTTTGACAGAGAAGGCAGAGGCAAAGGCCTCGTGTTGATCTTTGGTCAGTTTCCTTTTGCAGTGTCCTGCGAAAATGTCGTCTGAAGCTCTCTCTATCTCCCTCTCTCTCTCTCTCCCTCTCTGTCTCTCCCTCTCTCTCTGCGTTCTCTGTCTCTCTCATTGTTTCACGCTCTCTCCCACTCCCTCGCTTTGCTGAAAAGAAGGGAGGGAGAGCTGAGGTTCATCGTGGCCGAGGGCAGCTTCGAGCTGATGCCTCCCGGGGAAGCTGGCGAGATCTGCTTCGGAGGCGTGCTGGCTGCGCGTTACTGGCAGCGTCCGGAACTCACGGCCGCGAAGTTCGTACCGACGGACAGAGTTCACGCCTGATGCTTGTTCATGGTTCTAATAACTCGCAATGCTGATAGAGTCGATGCGGTCAGGAGGACTTCGGCCGAATCTACCGCACGGGCGATTTGGGCCGCTTCAGGGAGGGAGCTTTGGAAGTGGTCGGGCGCCTGGATCGGCAGCTGAAAGTCAACGGCGTACGCGTGGAGCCCGGCGAGATCGAGGCCCGATGCCACGTCTTCCAAGGAGCCAGACAGACAGGCTACTTAAAGGATCATGGGACTTAGTAAGTAGGGTTATAACTAAGGTAACTATACTTATTCTTTGCTTATAACCCGAATTAGGGGACTTATAACCTTACTTACTAAGTCCCATGATCCTCCAAGTATGATAGGCTCACAGGAAGCACCTGCATCCCTGAAGCCGGCAGGCCGTTCTGATGCAGTTCGACCTAGCGGAGCCGCAACAGGAGGAGGCCTAGAAGTGGTCTGTTGTCGTGTTGCATCATGTTGCACCGGCATGCAACGAATGCATATCATAGAGATGCAGAGCGAGAAACCTGTTCCTTGTGGAATCTCTGTGAGGACGCTGAGATGGGCTGCCTGCTGCCCGTCGCGAAGGCGGCCGTGTGCTGTGCAGATCCGCCGCAGCTCGTGGCCTTCGTGGAGCCCCGGAAGGAGGCCCGACAAGCTGCTTTCAGAGTGTGCCCTTGTAGCTTCAAGCCTGGCCGCTTGAGCCAGGCGACGATCCGCGCGCACGA